TCAGTCACAATTAAGTTCGTTAGAAGTGATAATGGTTCTGAGTTCTTTGCTAATGAATGTTCTTCCTTTTTTTCTTCCTTGGGTATTGTTCATCAAAGCTCGTGTGTTCATACTCCTCAGCAAAATGGTATTGCTGAAAGAAAACACAAACATTTGTTAGAGGTAGCTAGAGCTCTTAAATTTCATTCTCAAGTTCCTGTTAAATTTTGGGGAGAGTGTGTTACTACCGCTTGTTATATCATTAACAGGTTACCTTCTTCTACTTTAGATGGGAAAAGTCCTTTTGAAATCCTTCATGGTAAACCTCCAAATCTCTCTCATATGAGAGTTTTTGGTTGTTTGTGTTATGCCACTCAACCAAATTATAAGGACAAATTTTCTCCAAAAGCTATACCTTCCATATTCATGGGTTACTCTGCTACTCAAAAGGTTACATTCTGTTTAATCTTGAGAAACAATCATTCTTTGTTAACAGAGATGTCAAGTTTCATGAGGACGTTTTTCCTTTTAAATTTCCCATTTCCTCTTCTTCCTTATTTTTTCCTATTCAAGATGTTTTTGATTCAGATTTTTTGGTCATGCCCTTTCATACTACTCAGTCTAATTCTCCTATACCTTCTGGGACTTCAAATCAGTTTGTATCACCTCAAGCTTCAACAAATGATTCCTTTTTACCTCAACCTTCCCCTCACCTTTCTGTTTCGGAAGACTCTTCCTTAAGTAGTATTTCCATCCCTCCTAGACAATCTACTAGGGTCAAAAAACAGCCTGCTTGGTTACATGATTATGTTCAGTCTTACCAGTCTTCTTCTCTTCCAGGTACTTACCCAATTTCTAATTTTCTTTATTATTCTCATCTTCCTGTTAAAACTCAACTTTACCTTTCTTCTGTCTCTCATTTGGTTGAACCTAAGACCTATAATGAAGCCATTCAAAATCCTGTATGGGTTAAGGCTATGAATGAGGAGATTTTAGCTTTGGAATCGAATAATACTTGGTCATTGGTTCCCCTGCCCTCTAATAAGTCTCCTATTGGAAGTAAATGGGTGTATCGCATCAAATATAATTCGAATGGAGATGTGGAGCGGTTTAAAGCTCGTCTTGTTGCTAAAGGATACACTCAAAGAGAAGGGGTTGATTATGTTGAGACCTTCTCTCCTGTGGCAAAGCTGGTCACTGTAAGAACAGTCCTGGCTCTTGCATCTATTCATCAATGGCCTCTTTTTCAGATGGATGTTTACAATGCTTTCCTCCAAGGTGATTTGGTTGAGGAGGTATATATGTCCTTGCCTGATGGTTTTTGCAGTCAGGGGGAGACTAGGGTGTGTAGACTGCAAAAATCCTTATATGGACTAAAGCAGGCTTCGAGGCAATGGAACATGAAGCTGACAGAGGCCCTTCTAATGGCAGGTTATTCTCAAAGTAAATTTGATTACTCATTGTTTACTAAGTCACAAGAAAACAAAATTGTCATGATGCTTATATATGTGGATGATCTTTTGATAACTGGAAATGACAATAGACTGATTCAAGAACTCAAAGATATTCTGAATAGAAATTTTAAGATGAAAGACCTGGGTGAACTGAGGTATTTTCTTGGTTTGGAAATATTGAGATCAGAAAAGGGAATAGTTATAAGCCAAATAAAATATGCATTAGAGTTAATTGAAGAAACTGGATTAGGGGGTGCAAGGCCTATTGCAACTCCCTTGGAACAGAATAAAAGACTGGTTTCTGAAGATGAGTTGTTAGAAGACAAAACGAGTTATCAAAGGTTGATTGGGAAGTTAATCTACCTCACTAACACAAGACCTGATATTGCTTATTCAGTACAACTTCTGAGCCAGTTCATGCAGCAACCAAGGAAATTACACTTGGAAGCAGCTTTGAGGGTGGTCAGGTATATCAAAGGCAGACCAGGTCAAGGAGTGTTGTTGAGTGCAGAAAGTCAGTGCCAACTTCAGGCTTTTTGTGACTCAGATTGGGCGACTTGCCCTACTACTAGGAGATCAGTAACAGGTTTCTGTGTGAAACTAGGAGACTCATTGTTGTCTTGGAAGTCCAAGAAACAAAATACAATAGCAAGGTCATCTGCCGAGGCAGAATATCGTAGCATGGCAATGACTGCTGCAGAAATAGTTTGGTTAACAGGTTTGTTAAGTGAGCTTGGGTTCAAGAACATAGGACCAGCTAGATTGATGTGTGATAACAAGGCAGCTCTTCAAATAGCAGCAAATCCAGTTTTCCATGAGAGAACAAAGCACATTGAAATTGATTGCCATTTTGTACGAGAAAAGATTCAAGAAGGAATAATTGAAACAGAGTATGTGAAGACAACAGATCAACAAGCAGACATTCTTACAAAGGCCTTGGGAGTTCAACAACATGAATACTTAATTTCCAAGTTGGGGTTAATTAACATCTTTAACCACCAACTTGAGGGGGAGTGTTAGATTTCAGTTATTTAGTTTGTTAGGCAGTTATTAATTTGTTAGTTTGTTAGATAACTGATGATGGATGTGAATATATAGGCCTTAGTTTTGTAAATCATTAGTACAATAAATAAGAGAATAAAAGCACTTTTTCTGTAAAATTACCTTTTAACAGAATTTTTTTTCCATTATTGCTTATAGAGGGACTCTTGAGGTTCCCTAAGTCCCTGAAATAACAAACGGAACAGTGATGCAGTAAGGAGGATCCCACAAAAACCTGTTGATGATCAACAGTACTGTTATATCATGTCTTCGGAAATGATCAACTTCCCGCCACTCCAGAGACTTCCCGAGTAGATAACTCTCACTAGAGTTTGAAAGAATCTATCTGTTTCGGTCATAAGTTTTCGAATCAGTCACAGTAAATGTATAAGGCCTTTGACAGATCCACATGACTTAACTGGGAAAAATCTAAAATCTAACTATCATATATGTCTAGCTCATCAGCTTATGAATAGCCACCATAACTGTATACATGACAAAACCAGTTAGGGTCTTTATAAATATCTCTCGGCCTCTATTGAGAGAGGGACTTCATCTTCTCTCCAAGTTCTGTTGTTGACAAGCCATTTTCTTCCTAATTATTCTCTAACAGAAAATCACTGGTCAATTGTCAGTCCTCCATCAATTACAACTCTTCGTCCAAATTAAAAAGAATAAATCGTTAACGAATGAGAAAACCAAATTTTTCACCGTCTCTATAATACTTCATCTCCTCTCCAAGCTCTGCTCTTGACAAAACATTTTCTTCGTAATTATCCTTTAACAGAAAGCCATTGGTCAACTGTTAACCCTCCATTAATCACAATTTTACGTCCAAATTCAAAAAAAGGATAAATCGTCAACGGTCAAGAAAACGAATTTATTCCTATCAACATATATGGGTCTTTATAATACAATAATTCAATGAATCCGGAAGTATAACAAGTAGCCGTCAGCATAGGTTTGGCTCCAAAATTCAATCCTTGAGGGTCCAAGTGGGAAAGAAATAGTGGGGGTAGAAGGGTCCCAGTAAAAGGAGTTGTCGATCGGCCACCCCGTTGGGTAGCATAGACAAGGACCATTAATACAGCAGTTGTTCATCAACCTTTTTCTTTTACATCAACTTATCCAACGCCACTCATTTTTCATTAACACAGCTTTCTGAATTTTCCTCGCTGGTTCTACTTTTTTTTTTTGTTTAAGGAAACTAAAACATTCATATATATAATTATATAAGCGAGGGGAAAATTACTTATTTGTAAAGATTTGATGACACTCATTGGAGGTATGAAAAGTCTAGCTAAAGCTTTATTGAGTATGGGGCTTTTGTATAATATTTTGGTTCAGCTCGAGGAATGCTCATCATTCTCTACTTCACTCCTTCAATCAAATTCCATTTGATTTTCTTCTTAAAAAATTATATTTGGTGTATTAGTAAGTCATACCATGATGATATATTTATTACAAAGTATTTGCACATAAATAGAAAGAGAAAATAAGAAATAAAAAAGGACTAAATTAATTCATTTAATAGTGGAGTGACTAAATTGATACGACTTCTATAATAGAGGAACTTGACAGATACTTTCACCGTTTTTCTTTTCATGGTACATTTTTATTTATTTTATAATTTTCTTAAAAAAACTATAAAATAACCACAAAACAATCCACCACAAGACAACAAGGAAATTCAAGTCTCTTCAATCCAGCAAAAATAACAGATAAAGATGATCTGAAAAGTGCAAGATCCGTGGATAGGGATGGTTAAAGGCTTAAAGCTTAGAGGCAACCATGATATAGACTTCTTTATTTTAGGCTTCTCCTTTACCTTCTTTTTCTGTATTTTCTTTTTAATATTTCGTAAAGCTATTGCTAGGAGGCTCTGATATAAATTACATGAACTTTTTTAATTAAAAAAAGGAATTAAATTAGTTAATTATCAAATTGGTTTGAGACTAACTAAAATAATCAAGGGGCGTACAGATGGAAAAAAAGGTGTAACATTTAGCAATGATGAGCGTGAGGGCCACAAGTGGGAGCAGGTTAAGCACGTGGGTGCTGTCTTTCTCATTGCACGCTGCCATGGCTAATGGCTTCGTCTTGTGTCTTATGTCTTAAAAGTCTTAAACTTACTCGGAACACATCAAAAATTACCCTTCAAAGTTGAAAGTTGAAACTTGAAACACCATATATATATATATATATTCTTTCGATTTACAAAAGGGTTTATATATTTATACATACATATTTTTCATGATTGGTAGTTGTTTGTGAAGAGTATCAAAAGCGTTAAATTTCAGGTAGTTGTCTAAAAAAACATTTATTTATTTGACAGTGTGAGTGTTAGTCAGAGTCTTTCTACTTTTGAGTAAGGCGGTGAAAGAGCTGTTCTTTTTGTTCATTGACTCGGTATGAGTTTTAGAACTGATGATGGGATTGCAATGGATTTGATTCATCCTAATCAGCTGTGTATCATTTGATCTTCTGGGTTTTTCTTTCACACATTACTATTTTGTGTTATACATAAAAAGATTGTTTCTTTCTGGAGTTTGTGGTCTTCTGGGTGTATTTGGTGAATACAAAAGCTTAAAGCGAAGAAAAAACCAAACAGAAAGTTCAGTCATGAAGTTTATGAAACTCGGATCCCGGCCTGACACTTTCTACACTGCCGATGGTGTAAGGTATGTTTTTTCAGCCATTAAAGACACATGGTGTTTTTTTTTAGGAAGCTGCCGTTAATGTCTTTTTGTTGTTGTTGTTGCAGGTCTGTCTCTTCCGAAGTCTCCAGTGACCTTATAATTCAAGTGAAAGGAAGTAGATATATGCTTCACAAGGTAAAGTTTCCTCTGGTTTCTGAAATTTTCGAACCAGGAGTATTTATTTCATTTCAATTATGTTCTTTGTTTTACTTTTGCAGTTTCCTCTGTTGCCGAAATGTTTGCGGTTGCAGAGGATATGTTCCGAATCCCCTGAAACATTGCAGCACCAAATTGTTCAATTACCTGATTTCCCTGGTGGAATTGATGCGTTTGAGCTTTGTGCTAAGTTCTGTTACGGTATCACCGTAACTCTCAGCGCTTACAACATCGTCGCCGCGAGATGCGCGGCCGAATATTTGCAGATGACTGAAGATGTCGAAAAGGGGAACTTAGTTTGCAAGCTCGAAGTTTTCTTCAATTCCTGCATCTTACATGGTTGGAGAGACTCTATTGTGACTCTTCAAAGCACCAAAGCGTTCCCTTTATGGTCGGAAGACCTTCGGATTACGAGCAGATGCATTGAGGCCATTGCTTCAAAAGTTTCGACACACCCTTCGAAGGTGAGCGTATCGCATAGTCAGTCGAGGAGGGTTCGAGACGATATATCGTGTAATGGAAAAGACAGCGATCGGCAGAAGCCTATGAAGAAAGGTTGGTGGGGTGAGGACATTACCGAATTGGATATTGATCTTTACTGGAGAACCATGATTGCAGTCAAATCTGATGGGAAAATGCCCTCTAATCTCGTTGGTGAAGCATTGCAAATCTATGCATCTAGATGGCTGCCTTACATATCAAGAAAAGTAAAAGCTAACAAAGAAGCAGCAGCATCTGACTCGGATTCGGACTCGGCTACTGAGGTTACTTCAAAGTCAAGGCTGCTGTTGGAATCAATAGTGAGTTTACTTCCATCGGAGAAAGGCTCAGCTTCATGCAGTTTTCTACTTAAGCTCTTGAAAGCAGCCATCATTCTTGATGTATCGTCTTCTTTGAAGATGGAATTGGCTCGAAGAGTGGCACTTCAGTTAGAGGAGGCAAGAGTCAGTGATTTGTTAATACCTTCTTTGTCAAACTCAAGCACTACCCTCTATGATGTAGACATAGTCCTCACCATTCTGGAGCAATTCATGTCACAAAGACAGAGTCCACCTACTAGTCCTCCGAGATCGAAGCTGGTGTCTGAAAGAAGAAGGAGGCGGTCTCGTTCAGCCGAGAACATCGATTTTAAGCTTCAGGAAAGTAGGAGGTCTTCTTCAGCATCACACAGTTCCAAATTGAAAGTGGCCAAACTTGTAGATGGGTATCTTCAAGAGATTGCCAGGGACAAAAATTTACCTCTGTCGAAATTCATTGCAGTAGCCGAGACAATCCCGAGTTTCTCACGGCTCGTCCACGATGATGTTTACCGAGCTATCGACATTTATCTCAAGGTAATTAAAAACAGGTTTCATACTGTCATTGTTTTACCAAATTTCACACCTGCGTTGAATTTTTTTTGGCGCATCATAACTAAACTGAACCAACTCTGTTGACTTAATTGTCTGTTTCATGTTCTTGATTTATTAGCAGTTGGGATATACGGTTGGACCTATGATTTTACATTTTGCTGACTAAATTGTGATCTGCAATTCAAATATGAATTATGAATAGCCTTCCATTGACTTTCATTCATACTTTTGAGGAACATTGACATTAAATAATGTTGTTATTCGTTGTTACATGAAGATGCAAGTAATTGTAGTTCTTGTTTTCGAATATCCAGGCACACCCTGACCTAAACAAGGGCGAAAGGAAAAAACTGTGCCGCGTTCTAGATTGCAAAAAGCTCTCTGTCGAGGCCTGCATGCACGCTGCACAAAACGAGAAACTTCCGCTTAGAGTAGTGGTACAAGTTCTCTTCTTCGACCAGGCTCGAGCTGCGACAACTGGGGGCAAACTGACCGAGCTCTCTGGCAACATTAAGGCACTTTTAGCCGCTCATAACATTGATCCATCAAAGCCTCCGGGACCTTTAAGCACTACTACTAGCATTCCAGCAGATGACCAATGGAGTATCTCAGGCCTTAAATCACCGAAGTCCAGAATGTCAACGTTAAGGATGAAGCTGGCCGAAGATGACAATTTGAACGAAAATGACATGAACACAGATACAACGGGAAGACCTTCGAAGTTTAAAGGCTTCTGCGCACTACCTACGGGACCGAAAAAAATGTTCAGTAAGTTAATGTCCATCAATAGAAATGGCAATGAAAAGAGTTGAGGGTGAAATTGTGTTCATGTCCACGCTAGGGATGGTAATTGTAAGGGTAAAACACACTCTTTTTCTTGTCCTTTTTTTCGTTCTTTGAGCAAATGTCATGTAAGTTTAGCTGAGAAACAAAGAATCTCAATGTGCATTGTTGTTGTAACCTAATATAATAAGAATGAAGATTTCCAGGAGATACTGGAAATTTCTCTTTGGTGAACATGAATCTCATTACTAAAACTGGAACCAAAGTCCCTACTTGCAAATGACTAATCGTGGGGCCTATATTGCTGTTTTTGTCGGTGAATCTGCAACTTTTGCAAATCTTTGGATCACCGGGAATCAGGATGCAGTGCTGTTATTAGAATTTGTTTGTCTTATATCTTTGTTTTGAGCCAATATTTACTCCAAAGGTAGAATATATATATAGAAATGTGGGTTGTCATGTTATTCTTTGCAGGGGAATCAACAGCGAAGATGATGAAAATGATATAAGAAACAAAATCTGCATGGCTTGGCAGTTCACAGGGATATGAGATGCTTTGCTTTTCATATCGTCATTCAATTATTTCGTTCCATTATGATATACATGGAAATATTATGTTATTGATATTATGTAATGGTACCGTAAATCTAGCATTTATAATTAAGTTTGGTGCAAATATTGTTGGGGCATACAATGAAGAGGAAAATAGCAGAATCTGAGATATATATGATTCCCTTGGAAGTAGTAATGAGATGTAAAAACGAAATACTAAAACCCATAATTCAACGGTCTGCATGCAATTATTGACGAGTACCCCTGTCCCTTCTACTTTACTCATCGACCTACCATACTATTTCACCCTAGTTATATAAAAAAAATATATATGCTGAACATAAATCTACTGTCCTACCAGTGATTAAGTGTTCAAAATTGGAATTCTATCCCACTCCAATAAAAAAATATATTTAAAGTACAAAAATTATATCTCACTAATACTACTTTGTTAGGTCTTTGACTATTAAAGTTTACGAAATGGTCCCCTAATTATAAGGTGTTACTTTGTTGAGTAACTCGACTATTAAAAGTTAGAAAATGCTCACATGACTATTCACATGTTCAAAACTTATCATTTTTCGTTAAAAAACTGACGACGGTCTGAGTTGGACATTAATATGTTGACTGAGATATGATAGTTGTTTGAGATTATGAGATCAAATTCTATCATATCTCAGTTAGCAGGTTAACGTCCAACTCAAACTATCGTTAATTTTTTTAACGGAAAATAACTAGTTTGGAACATAATGAATAGTCGAGAGATCATTTTGTAACTTTTAATAGTCAAGGGACTCAACAAAACAACTCCCTATAATCAGAGAACCATTTTGTAACTTTTAATAGTCAAATGACTCAACAAAACAATATCATATAGTCAGGGGACCATTTATGTACTTTACCCTTAAAAAACAAACATAACTCTTTTTAATGGTAAATTACTTTTTTCATCACTTAACTTTCTTCTCATTTTAATTTTGATCACTAAAGTTCAATCTTTTCCAAAATTTAATAACTCAACTTTCGATTTACGTTTGTTTTGATAATTCTACTATTAAATAATTAACGACATTATGACATTACAAATTACACCCAAAAAACATCGTTTTGGATCCCTATAAAACGTTATTTTTTTTCTTTTCTCCTTATTTCCCTCATTTTCTTTTTCTTCCTCTTCTTTCTCCTCTCTTTTTCTCTCTATTTCTCTCCTCAGCCTAAACTAAACACATATTTGGGCCAGCATATAGATTGCCAATTAACCACCACCAAGCATCGTAGTTGAAGGCCAATTAGTCTCATAATTTTTCACCAAACTCTCTATCCTTCATGAACACAAATTTGATGTTTGTTTAATTGGAATACACCCTAAGATCCACAAATTTGTTGTCCAACAACTTCAATCTATTGAATCATCAACATTTGACATAACTTTCGACAAACTATAATATCGTTTGACTCATCTTTTTCCTTCAACACGTATTTCGGTTTAGTTTTTTATAGAAACTTCGCAAAGCCTCAAAATTTCTCCCAAACTTTCAACCTTTTTCGTTATCGATCTCAGCGTTCGACTGTCATATCACCGTGATTTTGAGATATATTATTCTCCTCACTGACTTCTACCTTTTCATTGTTGGAATTCTCCATTCGATCACTAGGCCATTGAGAGTGAAAATATGATTATGGCTAAAGATGAGTAATGAGGTTTAGGGTTTAATTGTAATTTATGGTTTAAGGTTTGATTGGGGTTTGAGGTTTATGGTTTAGTTTAAATTTATGGATTCGAGTGAAACAAAATTGAGTTCAGACTCAATCGAGTAAAATATGACCATTTGAAAATATTGGATCAAACGATCGTCGATAACAATGGTCAGTGCAATGGCCAATCCAAAAAGTTAACAAAAAATGATAAGTCATCCCGATAACAATGGTCAGTGCAATAACAATGGTAGAGTGACTAAAACAAAAATAATCCGAATGTTCAATGATTAAATTTGAAAATATTAAACTTTAAGGATCAAAATAGGAATGAGAAGAGTGATGATTTATGTAATTTACCTTTTTTTTTAAAAAAAGGTTGATTACTTTTGTACATTTTCTAATTTTTATCAACCCTGTAATCTGTGAAATTACAGTTCTCATCCACTTTGGCTAAAACTTGTGGGGATTCAAAGGTGGAAGAGGCTTAAAGATGGCGATTCGTACATCTTCTGGAAGTCAAACAAATCAGCATCTGCAAACCCTATCCAATATCAAAGCACCTGTTCCACTGCAATGACTGCCCATTTGTCCTTTCTTGCTGTTCAGTTCACATCTCCAATTAATTTTGGTGCCATCTACAATCCAGGCACTGTTAGGATTTGTTATCATGGCCTCCATGCCATATTTCAGCTCCTACTCGTATTCGTGTTTTTCTCTGTTCCTTATAATTAATGTGATAAATCTGTCAAAACGATACAAGTATAAATATATCCCACATATAGCAAAAATAAGTTTTAACTGGAAAATATTTAATCAACAATAGAGATGGAGTAAAAGCTCCAAGAAGACAACAAATGAAATAGTTAATGCCAAGCAATGAAATTATTTTAGCAGAGTCTTGGTAGGATCAACAAGAGTCAATAATACACAGAAATTATTGATGCGCCCCATACATTTGGCACTATTGCTACATTATTCATCAGTGGCAGAATCGGGCTTAGATGTATTATCATCAAGGGTTGCGAATTGAGCCTCGATGCTTTTGGTCTGTTGGAGAGTCGGAACTCGATGAACCCTGCAACGGAACGAACCGGGATGCATAGTCAGAGAGCATAGGCAATCACACTTGGCTGTCGGCTAAGTCCCAACGCACCTTGACCTTGCCCTGATGTAGGAGTTGCCACATGAGACTCTACGGTGTCTCCGGTTATCGTTTCAGTCTCGGGCGGAATCTCCAACTTCAGATCCTTCTTTGACATTTGCTTACTTTCTCCCGCAAGGGTTCAACACATAGCATAATACTTGATCAACATGAAACCAATTTAATAAGTGAAGATGGAAAATGTATAGATATTGTTCCTCTAACAAGGGTCTTGAATGGCCTGGAACTTGAACAAATGATTCACAATTGGTAATGACTAAAAATAAGGAAAGAGACACAATTGGGCTGTCACGGGATGTATAATCTAGTCCATTAACCCCCCACCTAAAATTTTATCACTTGTCTTAATGCTTCAACCACTTAAAAAGTAAAATATCATCATCAAGCGGGAAATACGAGACCAACTCCGCCTAAACAGATCGAATTAAATCATTTTTAAAAATTGATTTAATTAATTCATATTTAAAAAAAATGTTATCCTCTTTAAATATTTTTTTAAAAGTAAAAGGCCGTACAATTTTATTAAAGATATTTATACAGACCCAATAAAAATATAAACCTTATTAGAAAAACCTCTCTAATTCTAAACGAAGGAAAAAGAATATATCATATCATTGTAAAATACATAAATAACCATACAAAAGTTATCACTTTAAAATACCAACCAAAGCACCTACCAAAGCTGGCCAAAATGAACAAAAGGACACCAATAGGATGAACAAAACATAATTCAGCATCCCACCAGCAACTATCACGCAAAAACCCAATTAGCACAACTCACCCTGGGTATTTAAGGTCGAAACCTGAACTAAATCAAAACGCCTATTAATTCAATTCTTTGCTAGACTGTCCTGTATGCAGCATAATTTCCCCTTCTACTAATCAGATTAAGAGAGCTGTCGCGACCGTCTTTCAGGTGAGTCCGAAATTAAACTTCGACTTGAATAAAAATCATTAAAGTCGCCACCGATCATTTTAAAAACATTTAGGTGGAACGAACACCATCTTACTAATATGCGTTTTACCAGAAATGTGTCGAGTTCGGGAGTCAGTTACAGTCAAAGAAAGATTAACACCATAGAACTATCCTTTCGATACCAATTAATTTTTCGGTTGTCTTAATCGCGAAAATTAAAATTTAAAAACCCGATATTGCAACTTTCACCATATGAAGTCGGCATATTTTCCTTTAGTTGTATTGTGATAAAATGCTATGGAGTGTATACCAAAGAACAACATGCGCCATCCAACTTACCATAGGTCATCAGTGGCAAATTTATTCATCATTGAGAACATTGGCAGAAATTGAAATCTAGTTGCACGAGTGTAACTTTGAAATACTGGATGTAATACATTATACAATATGAAAAGAATAACTAAAGCACGATGCAACAAGCACAAGAATGACAGAAACACACAAAAAGGTCAAAATCCATGTAAGAAAAACATATACAAATTTTATATAAAGTCTATCAAAAAAAACACCTTTAAGAACATACGTGGATACACAAATTGACAGGTCTCACATGAGTAGATTACCAAGAAGCTATCAGAACCAAAAATAATGACTGGATTTTACACATGCTTTTAGCAAAAGCCTCAGCAATAGTTATGCAAAAGGATCAACATAGTTACCAAATGCATGTATTTTCCTACAAGTTCTTTTACCATTGCCTTCACTAACATTCTTATTCCCTATAGTAAAGTCAAATTAACCTTTAGCTGGAAGAAAAAATACTACAGAAAACTATCAAATGAAGGGCTTACCGCTTGTCTCACTGAAATGTTTGCATCGGGAGCTTCTGAACTAGATGAGGCACCCGTTGCATGACGGTAACCGGCTGCGAAGGCAGAGGAGACGGCCGTCGTGTCTGAACTCGTGGCGTTGAAGGTGACTGAGGTTTTAGTTGTGGCAGCAGCTGCGACTGCACCGTTTGCGGCTATAAACTCAACAGCAATTTCAGCTCCTACGGTTGATGATGTGGCTTCGTCGGCAACTCCGTTTGTCATATGCATCCTCCCCATCAGCGTAGTATTTGGCCTCCACGTCATGAATCTTATATCCCAAAGTCTGGGTATACAGATTAAACGATGCCCTGTTACTCTTCCTCTTCCTCTTCCTCATATGTAAAGAAACATACTCTGTCCGGGAACCTGTTCCATGGCAGCTTGAGCGGCGTTCATGAGCTTAGTGGCAAGGCCGAGCTTGCGGTGGGTGCGGAGGACGGCGAGGGATGTGATTTGGCCGTGACACTCGTTGCTCTCCTTGTCCATCTTGGCGAGGACGTAACCGACGATCCGGCCGTTGTAGTCTTCGACGACGTAGAGGATCTGAGGCCGGGAGAGGATGTGGTAAAAATAGTGCTTCATCTGGTAATTTTCGGGGAGGCAAAGCGGGTTGCAAGCTTGCATCGCCAACAGATCGTCCATGGTTGCCTTGCGTATGCACACCATCATTGCTTCTTTCCACTGGATTTCTTTCTCGCCCAATTACCTTATTCGGGGACTAGGTTTTTCGATTTTGTTTAGTTACTGCTGCTGGCCCACCACCAACGATCATCTCTATACACCTAATGGAAAAGAAACTCAAAAACTCAAAACCAAAATCAAATTGATTTTGAAGTTAAAATGGAAATTTAAAGGAGTGGTGGTGTGAGTCGTAGAGTCGCCCCGCTGCCTTTGTTTCTGCCTCCGATTCTACTACCCAAGCTTTGTAATTCGGATCCAATATGATATCCACATAGCAATCCTTTACTGGAGATGACGCCATAGGAGGAGCCATCAAATCGATCTTGAACTTCTCCTCAAACTGGCTTACCGCTCTTTCCTCCTTGGATATTAGTTTGATTGTTGTAGGGTTCTGGATGTTTTCGAGTTCAACAGAATACACGTTTATATTCTGATAGTTTCTGCGTGAAGCACTCTTAATGCTTCTGTTCTTGATAAGAAAGGCTCATGGGAGTCAGTTCCATTGTTAAATATAGCATGGGATGTGTGTGGATGAGCAAAACGGTGTGAGCTTGAACAAGGATATTGAGCAATTGTAATGCTGCTTCTATTTTGGAATTCTGGTTTTGCTTTCCAGTTAAAGCATAACTAAAACATGAAACGGCAAGCAAAGATGGGTCTATTTTCCTCAATGATTCGTGGTCCCCTAAATATTATAAGCACAGCGGTTTTTATAATCAAAGAGAGAAGAAGAGCTCCTATCTGCCTGGCCCCCAAATTGCTCCATGATTTATATGCATGAGGTGGTGGGTTGAGTGGAGGTTGTTGGGTAGTGTTTGTGAGAGGACGTGAATGGAAATGAGGGAGTGGAATGGTGGGGTTGAACTGAGACCTATAAAAAATAAAAATAAAAAATATTAATAAAAACAATAATAATAATAAAAATAAATAATATAATATAATATTTTTGTAGATCCGAACAAAAACGGATACCTACAAAGACTTACAAGTTCAAGACTAAGAGAACCACTACACTGGAAACAACCACCTTACAAGCTTCAACTAAATCCTTGAAGCTTACAAGCGCAAGACTATGAGAGCCACTACACTTGAAAACAATAATCTTAGGCATCTCCAGCCCTCATCTCTACTCTACATCATTTCTATATCTACTCTAAAGATGAAACAATAATTCATCTCCATAGAATTTCATCCCACCTCGACTTATTAAACACAATTTGATTCATGAAAGACCAAATAGTCCACACAATTACAAAGAACCCCATTTTCCATAGAATTTCAATTTTCAACATTGGATAACAACCCAACCAAGATTCAAGAAATTTCCACCCGTTTTTCTAGTAAACACAAAGTACACCCCAAAAACCACCCCATCGATTCCAAATCTTCCAAGAAACCTCACAAGAAAAAAGTAAATGTTCAATCGACTCTTCCTCCTTTTTCACACAAAGAACACAAATTATCCGGAAGAGAAACAATTCACATTTTGTAGGAACAATTTCCATGTAAAATGTTCAATATTACTTGGAACCAAACCTGTCCAGATGGTTTTCCAATTTGCACTTTGATTTTGATTGTCCGCGGCTAAGTTAATAATGTCCTTAGTCTCAAAGTGACCATAAACAATACGAGGGAAATGACCCCAAACGACAGCCATCAAGGTTATTCAAGAAATTCTCTCAAACTTCCACTTCCCAGTCGAAAACTACTCTTCTAAGATGAACATCACATTGCCAAACCCCACCTTCCCAATGACCGAATTTCACTATCTTGCCTACCTTCTTTACTGCCAAGGCTTAGATCCGCGGAAATATGTCCTTTAAATTCGACGAATTCACCCATTTATCAGACTAGAAATCTATCAAACAACCATCGCCCACACTAAGTCGGATATTTGTGACAAAAGGATCTGTTTCTACATGAGAAGGATTAAGAGGCCTCTCAATATCTCGCCAAATCCAGGACTTATTCCGAGCATTTACATTTGAAGGTAGAATACTATTTACTTCCCCTTCATATTTAGCTTTAATGACTCATCTCCAAAGCCTATCCTTTTCCGATCCATATCGCCAAAGCCATTTATATAAAAGAGCTTTATTTTAAATTTTGGGATCAAACAAACCCAACCCTCCAAACTGACGAGGAAGGCAGAGTTGTTCTCAACGCACCCAATGGATCTTCCTTCCATCCAGAGATTTCCAAATAAACTTTGCAACAGTTTTATTTGGTTCAGAGGAAATTCTGGCAGGCATTTTAAATATCTAAAGTAAATAGGCATACTTGAAAGAACGGCCTTTGCTAATGTAACTCTGCCACCAAAGGACAATAATTTGGATTTCCAAAGGGCCAATTTCTTTTTGATTTTGTCTAAGATCGGTCTCCACAAAGCCGTTGAATTCCTCGGTTGTCCCAAGGGGAGGTTGGAAGAGAACTCATTAAGCAATTAAGTAGTCTTGACCAAGAAAGAATCACCGCCTCATCCACATTAACACCAAGCAGAGTTGATTTCTTTAAATTTAGCTTTAATCCAAACGCGAGTTTGAAGCATCGAAGGAGACGCTTAGTATTTTGAACCTGAGTGATGCCATCTCCACAGAAGATGATTAAATCATCCGCAAATTGAAGGAGGGTGATCGTCAAATTTTCCTGACCAATAGAAATTCCGTCAAAGAAACCAAGGGAAGCGGCTTTTGAGATAATTGAGCTCAAACCTTCAGCAACAATGTTAAACAGGAAAGGAGACAGGCAACCTTGTCTAAGGCCCCTTTTGACTCTGAATCTATCTGTCGGGGATCCATTGAGCAGGAAACTAAATTGATGCAGATGAAATGCAAGATCGAATCCAACCTCTCCAACGATGACCGAAACCCATTCTACCCATTAAAAGATCCAGAAAAATCCAATCCACACAATCGTATGCTTTTTGGAAATCAACTTTAAAGATAGCACACTTCAAACCCCTCCTTTTTATACAATCAACAACCTCATTAGCAACCAAAGCACAATCAACAACCTCATTAGCAACCAAAGCCCAAAGCTAAAAACTTTAAACTTAATATATTCTCATATTTAATTTGATTGAAGCTCAAAATTAAACTCGGTTCAACCTCTCTAAATAATTCGAATTAATATAATTTTATATTTATTTATATTTAAAACCAGACATAAATATTAACTTATAATTATATAAAATCTAAAAAAAAGCCCAACTCGTTCACATTGAAATGAAACAACCCAATAAATCCAACCAATTTTAATTCAAGCTCATTTACAAAATTAAATAACCAAACTAATTCCAATCAAAATTCAAAATTAATTGAATATTTGAATCGAATAAATCAATAAATGTTAAAAAATTAAAACAGCACGTTTATTTAATATGATTTGTATTTTTTATACAATATCTAGACTATCCATATTCTTTAAATTTTTGAATTGAATAATATTGATAGTTTAAACATATTTGATCTCACATTTAGAGTTATAATTGAGATGAGACAGATCACAAGCTACTCGATTTTGATTCGGTCAACACTTGAAATGAATAGATTCGAACTCGAACTCAACTCGTTTACAATCCTACCTACATCCTTTTATATGTTACAGTAATGATGATACAAATCAAGTAATCAGTTCTTAACTTTAATTTGTTGCGTATATGAGACTTTTATTTTTACTTAGTTCTCACAAACTATCAATATCTAAATTTTAATTTTATTTATTATATGTTTAAGTAATTATCCAGAAAAAACTGTGATTTAGGATCTGTTGGGGGATTTCTTATCTTCGATCAACCTTATTTGACGTGAAATCCGCTTGAAACTTGACAAAGTCTATTGGGATAAGTTGATAGGCATTCAAGGCATAATCCTAAAAATTCAGTCATTGCATGGATGATTGCCCTTGATAGATTACCAACCAAAAAATAGGCTTATTGTGGATGGTGTCACTTCTGTCTTTCGGTTTGGGGCTAAGAATTGAGTTTCGACTTGAAATAATAAGTTATAGTCGTCACCGATCATTTTAAAAGCATTTAGGTGGATCAGACACCATCTTACCTGATCTGTGTTTTACCAGAAATGTGTCGGGTTCGGGAGTCGATTACAGTCAATGAAGGATTAGCACCATTGTATTATCCTTTCGGTACCAATTAATTTGTTGGTTGTCTTAATTGCGAAAATTAAAATTTAAAAACCCGATTCAAATTGCTTACCTTTGATCAATTGGAATTCCTCTAAAAAATCAAAAATGTTAGAAAAAATAAATAAATACTAAATAAATCAAAGAAAAGAAAATAAAATAAAATAAATCAAAGAAAAAAATAAAATAAAATAAAAATATTAAATATTAAATAAATCAAAAGGAAAAAAATAAAAATAAAAAAGGTTAAATTTTAAAAGCATAAAATAAAAACAATATGAAGTAAATAATAATAATAAATTTAAAAAATAATAAAATAAAAATTTAGAGGATTGATTTGAAACAAATGGATTAAATTGGTACTAAAAATGAGCTGCAAGAGAAAAAAAAGAGTTAGAGGGGTTAGATTGCAAAAAAATTAAATTATAAATAGGGATCAAATTGAATAAATTAAAAATTCAGAGGACAAATTGAACACAATGTCAAAAGTTGGGGGACGACGGAAAGGGTTTAACTATTGGCTAATTACAACTTAGTCTCCCGTATATAAATGGGCCAAAACCCCCCATTTCCTATCATTTCCTCAAATCTTCATATTTCTTTTCTCTCAAAATCCTCTCAAACAATCCCCTAACCGGTCGAAAGCTGGTCATCTTCCCCGACCATAATACTGTCACCGGCCGCCGCGGCCGAAAAAATCGATACCCATCCAAAACGCTCTTCTCAACCCCTTTAACCCGAATCTTGTCACAAAAACACCATGCAATAGGCCAAACATCCTAGATCTGGGCACAAACCCTTCGGTTCCCTTACCTTGTCCGACGACTCCTCGGTTCTCGACCTCTTGGTTCTGACGAACGACTGATGCTCTATTTTTATATGATTTTCCGCTTTGTATTCCTTTGGGTTTCGAATGGCTTTGTTTATATGTTTGCTTGTTGGTTTTTTTTTGCTTTCTCGTGTTCGGTCGATTTGTCTTTGTTTTTGCCTTCGATGATGCTTGGCTCTCTGTTGCTTTTGTCGTTCGTGTGATGATCTTTGTCGTGGTTTGGTGGGGGTATTTATACCCCTCCACCGGTGGTCGTTTCCGATGATATCGGGATCATGTTGTTCGTGTGACTGGTCATCCCAGGATGGATCAGTCCCGGGATATCAGTCGACCGTTTCGCGTGATTGGCTCGATCTTATTGCCTGTGCGACGCCTTGACAAACTATTAAAACCCTAATTCAGGATTGGGTTGTATCATACCCAAACTCGATTGGCAATCCCTTTACCTGGACCGAACCATTAGACCCTAAACCAAAAAACTATAAAGAAAAATAAGTAAATAAATAAAAATAAATAAATAATAATATAAATAATAATATTAATATAATATATAATAATATAAAAAATAATTTTTTAAAAAAAAGTATATATCATATATGTGTTTTCAAAATAATTATTTTCAAAACCATATAATATAATATATTTTCAAAATATTTTAAAACTATATTATATATATATATATTTTCAAAATGTTTTAAATATATTTTTTTCAAAATGTTTTAAAAACTATATATTATATATATTTTCAAAATGTTTTAAAAATTATATATTATATATTTTTTTCAAAATATTTTAAAAACTATATATTATATATATTTTCAAAATGTTTTTAAAAACTATATAATATATACATTTTCATAAAATCGTTTTCAAAACTATATTATATATATATATATATATATATTTCAAAAATCATTTACAAACTATAATATATATATATAAATAAAAATATTCAGACGAAAATAAGTGTCTACATATAGTTCCTATAATCTTTGCTTGAAAGGTTTGGAAACACGTGATCACTTGTTTTTTTGAATGTGAATCTTCTAAAATTATTTGGGATATTACTCTAAAAGACTACCTGATTAGTAGGAATGTTATGGATTGCTGTTGGAATTAGATTGGTTTAATTACATATTGAAGAGGAAGTCCCTGTTGTGTTGGCGTGGAATTGTTACATTACTCAGATTTGGAGGGAAAAACCGAAGGCAGTTTCAACGCCTTGAACAATCTGTTATGAATATTGTGATGCGTGTAAAGAAGTTTGTTCGTTTTAACTAAGATAGAAAATGTAAATGTTACTCTTTGGGACCTTGATGCTTAGGATTTTGTATTGGGGGCTGCTGTTTTGTTTGTTATTTTGCCTCTACAAATAATTATTATATTGGGTTTGGTTGAAATATATATGCATATATAAAATGAAAAAGCATAAGATCATCAAGTCCCGAAATAAAGTAGTAGACTATTGAAAAGATGTGTGTTTGTCGCAGTGATAAAAACACAACAGCTATCAACTTCAAAGCAGAGCGTCATCATTACTTTGATATTAATGAAACTAGTGTAATCTTTAAAAATTTTAAATTTTCGTATAATTTAGATATTTTAATTTAGATATTTTATTAATAATATATTTTCGTCTATTATAATTTTTTAAATCTCTTAATATAAAATTATTTATCCGTCTCTTAACCTTGAACTAAAGTATAAACTGCTTGGTGTTTGAATGTATATAAGTAACCATGCCTAACCCTAGATGTTGTGTTTTGTCTGGGCAATGCTGGGATCCAGCGATGATAACTGTGTTCATAATGGCATAGGAAAATCTTCTACATTGTTTTATCTTATATGGTGAAGTAATTAAGAGGAAATAACTTCAGTGATCGAAAATGTCTTATAATATACGATTTTAACAATTTTTTTTTGGATTTGCCAAAATGACCAACAAATTCGCAACGCAATCTCCAATTTCGCAACCCAGTTTACAATTTCGCAACGCGAATTTGTAAATCGCAACACAGAAGTCAAATTCGCAACGCGATAGTCAAATCCGCAACACAAAAGTCAAATTCACAACGCAAAAGTCAAATTCGTAACGCGAAAGTCAAATTCGCAACGCGAAACACAATATTAATTTCGTAACACAAATGTAAACAGTATTGTCATAAATCATAATCTAAAACCCTAAATCACAACTCACAAACTCATGGAATTGTGGATCATGTAGCAGTTCAATAACAAATAACAACGATTTAACACCAATCCACAATTTAATTAAGATTGATTTAATTTCTCTTACTCCTTTCCTTTAAGCCTAAGGGGCTAATATTTTATTAATCTTTTAAATAGAAAAAGAAGTAATTCAGAATCATCTGGTTAGGATCGATCTAAACCAGTCTATTATGTATATAATTCAGTATGCCAACTATTAAACAACTTATTAGAAATGCAAGACAACCAATTAGAAATGTCACGAAATCCCCTGCTCTTGGGGGATGTCCCATCTCCATCTCTCACTCTCTACGACGACATCCGTCCCCATATCCGACAAAATCCGTCCCCATCTCCGGTGAAATCCGTCTATCTCCATCTCTCAGAGCAACCCTCACAACCATTCACGGTCAGAAATGGAAAATCAACCACCGAAGGTTAGTTTTTTAATCTCTTATTTTTATTTTGAAATTTTTGTATTATTATTATATTTTTCTTATATTGATGATAAATTTACTGGTAATTTCAATATATATAAAGATTAACCATTTCACTGAGATTGCTTAGTAAATTCATTCAGTTGCTGCCAATACTGCTAAACTGTTTAGTTTTTAACCCTGTGAAGTTAGTATTTGTCTTTGTTTTGTCTTTTTGTTGAAGAAATACAATTCATTCAAGTTTCAATTTGCAGAAGAATAGTTTTTGAAACTTAAATTCGTAACACGAAAATAAAAATCGCAACACCAAAATCGCAACGCGATTTTAGTTTCGCGTTGCGATTTTCTCGTTGCGATTTTCATTTTTGCGTTACGAATTTAAGTTTCAGAAACTACTCTTATTCTGCAAATTGAAACTTGAATAAATTGTATTACTTCAACAAAAAGACAAAACAAAGACAAATACTAACTTCACAGTGTTGCTAATTTAAGTTTCAAGAATAAACTACTACTCTTTATGTTGTTATTGAACCTGCACTAAACCTATATGTTGTCCTTTTAAATGTTTATATAAGTGCTTACTTCTGGAATGTTATTTGATGCATTTTGTGAACTATAATGGAATAATCACAACATGTAAATACCGTGTTAGTTTGAAACATATTTGGCTTTGTTTTCACTATTTAATATCATGTCTGTTTATAGTGTTTAATTTGTAGTTTTTGGTATATCTAACTTGGTATGTTTATTGTTTTTGTAGAAATTTTTTTCGCTTGCATTGACCTTAAGGAATAAATTAAGCCTAGCCACTAAAATTGCGTCGGCGCTTACACCTCTACAAAGAATGTAACAACCCGAATTTTTTTACAAAAATAATATTTAATTGAAATTGGAGGTTAATTGTAAAAATTGGCGAAAATTGGGGATTAAATTGAAAGATTTTAAAATTTGGAGCTTGTGTTAGAGTTAAAGAAAATTCAGGGACTAAGCCCTGAATTTACCTAATAAAATTAGGTGAATTTTGGTTATATATGTTATATGCGTAATCAGAAAACCACCACCCCAAATTTCCTTTCCCCTACGTTCGTTTCCGACCCAGATCCAGACGCCGTCTGAATTTCGATCGTCGTTTTGAAACCACCGTTGTGTTCATCATCGAGCGAGGAACAAACCCTTCAATTTAATTGAAGCGAAACGCGGCCAAACGTCGGGAATTTCCAGTCAAAGCATCGACTTTTTTTTAGCTCAATCGCCTAGAAAATCCTAAATTCATCGCCGATCGTTGCTCCGTTTACGACACCTCCCGCACCATCGTGTTCCTTGTGCCGTTCCGAGTCCACCGGTGTTCTCCTTTTTCTCCGGCGGCGGCGGCACGTGGGGAGGTGAATCGGTCAAACTTCCCGATTTGATGAATTCGAGCTCTTCGCCGTTCAAAAATTTGAACCAAGCTTTGTAAGTATCTCGAAAACGCTCAAAATAATTTTTAGAAATTTTTCCGTAATTTTTAGAGCCCCGGAGGACACCTCACGCGCCACACGCGCCGTCGTAGGGCGAGTGAGTGACCGGTTTAATCGGTTTTCTTAAGGGTTTGACTGGTTTGACCGATCATGACCCGACCCGTTGACTCGACCCGACCCGTTGACCGGTGTTATTTTGATAAATAATTTGGTTTTGGTGTTATTCTGGTAAATAATTCAGTTTTGGTGCTATTCTGGTAATTAATTCGAAATGGGTGCTATTTTGGTAATTATTTTAAAAAAAGGTGCTATTTGTGTAAAATGTTCAACAGTTTGTTGACCTCCTTTGACCATAACTTTGACCAGCTTTGACCGGCTATTAAATGATCGTTAATCTTTTCTGAGTATACATATCCTGATAGTTTTCGACGTGCCGAATCCGTTTTCGTGGTCTGTTTTGTCAAATTCGAAGCCGAAGGCCTCCAAATCGACGGTCAAAGTGGTTGACTTTGACTTTGACCAAGAATTTGAATTTTTGAAAAGTCATACTTTATTTTTCTCGACGTCCTGATTCTGATTCCGCAGTCCTTTTGGCCAAATTCAGACTCAAAACCCTCCAAATTGAAAGTCAAACCTTGAAAATGCTTATATACTTAAGAATTTTAGCTTTGAACAATTAAGTAAGATTTGGGGCTGATAAATTATTATTATTTGAAGGTATAAGAGACTCTTCGG